CGAGTGACATTGTTCCTCATCTTAACCTAAACAACATATTGCACTTTGGCCTCGAACTTCCACCTTTAACAGCTCATATTTAAACCTTGTTGTTAAGACTTGAGAACAGGTGATATAAGACTAAACAAGCGAACAATGCAGTCAGCCACGTCATGTTATGCTAACCTTTTAATTGTAGCCGTGTACAGAAGTTGAAAATTACTGTTTTAATGTGACATATATAAATGATGGAAGTACCTTTCATTCTTTGTTTTTATTCTATAAAACGCCTAGTGAGCCGTTCTTAGTTACAGATTACAGGATGAATGATGGCAAAACATTACAGCCTCTAACAAGAAGTTTTCAGCTGAAAAGTTAAATATGTTCTGCTTTTTGTTTTTGACCCCTGAAGCAATTCAAACAAAAACAGCCAAAATTTGTCAGCAAAATGTATCATTCATGAAGAAAATACACAAAACAAATATTTACTGTTTTGGAATTTTCTTTTATATTAGACTGCATAATATTTAGCTGTTTGTAATATTATGTTTGTGACTGGATATTAACCCCTTAACGCCATTACGGCGTTCTATGCCGTCCCGCTTTAAATGGGCTTTAAAGCCGTTGTGGCGGCATAGAATGCCGTAACGGCTTTGAGCCCTGGAGCGCCCGGTATACTCACCTTCCCAGCGCTCCGCTGTTTGTGTTTGTGACTAAGTGGCTACTAAAAAGGACTAAACATACCCCACTTTCAATACCTTGGGTTGTCTACTTTTTCAAATGGTATGCCATTATGGGGGTAATTCTCATTCCTGGGCTACCACTCCGTCTCAAAGGTAACATTACTAATCTGGCAAATTTCAATTTGAAAATGGAACGTTCTATATTTGACCCTGTAACTATCCAAAACACCATAAAACCTGTTAATGGGGGGTACTGTTGTACTCGTGAGACATCGCTGATTACAAACATGTGCATTTTTTTGCAGTAAAAAATAGTATTATGACATTCACAGCTAAAATGTCAGACGGAAATACAAATTTAAAAAAAAATCTTATTTTCTCACATTTTTTTAAATTTTATTCATAATAAATTATGTTCCATATATGAATAGTTAATTAAAGCCCTGTTTCTCCTGAACGAAATGATATATAATAAGTGTGGGTGCACCTAATGTGAAAGGGGTGAATTACGGTTGAACAGACATATAGCGCAAATTCCAGTTTTTGTTTTGTTTTGATCAGAACGTGCACTATTGACTCCATCCTGAAGGGGCTAATTAGTTATTGTCTAGAATTGAAAAACAATTAATTAGGAAGTAATGATTTTTTTTTTTCCAACATTAATAATGAAAACGAATTTGGACTGGTTTTCTACAATTTGGAAGCAAACCTTAAGAGGATATGCAGTAATTTGACAATATTCAAGATTTTGCAAACCCACATCAGAACTTGATTGAAATTAACTTCAAATTAGTTGCCGTCCTTACTCAGTTGGTGTGTAAGCCTAGGCCTCTTTTAAGTTTTACCAAAGGTTTATTTATTTATAAAATATTTTACCAGGAAAGATACATTGAGATTTCTCTCGTTTTCAAGTATGTCCTGGGTCCACAAATCATTGCATTGTTACATTAGGGTACAATTAAATACAAAAATAATATAAATACACAATATATACAAAATTTAACATAGAACAGGTAGGAAATATATAATCAACCATGGCAGGTGCATTCTGTTTTGAGGTATGTAGAGAGGGATCTTTTAAAAGACTTTAGGCTTGGGGAAGATTTTAAATTGTGCGGGAGGTCGTTCCACAATTGCGGCGCTCTGTAGGAGAAGGAGGATCGGGCCGCTTTCTTTCTCTATTGAGGTAGACTAAATAAAGTGTTGGCACTGTATCGGAGGTTATAGGAGGTGGGAACAGCTGAGGAGAGCATTTTGTTCAGGTAGGGTGGGAGTTTCCCAGAAAAGCTCTTAAACACAAGGCTGGAAAGATGAAGGGTGCATCTGGATTCCAGCGACAGCCAGTTTAGTTCTTTTAGCATGTCACAATGGTGGGTCCTGTAATTACATTGTAGTTAAAATCGGCAGAACGAGTTATACAATGTGCTGAGTTTATTAATGTGGGATTGCGATGCAGAGGCATATACTACATCCCCATAATCAATGATTGGCATCAGCATTTGCTGTACAATCTTTTCCTTTACCGTAGGGCATAGGCAGGATTTGTTTCTGTACAGGGCACTTAGTTTTGGATAAAGTTTAGAAGCAAGTTTTCCTATGTGCAGGCCAAAAGATAGATTGGAGTCTAACATCAAACCCAAGTATCTGAAAGAGTGGACTGCGGTCAGTGTGCCATTTGAATTTGTTTTGATGGATAGGTGGGAATTGTGTAATTTAGGTACTGTTCCGAAGATCATTGTGACAGTTTTGTCAGTGTTTAGGAAGAGTTTATATAAGATGACCCCCTCTACTTCCACCTTCTAAAAACCTACTCTAATTCATTGTGCCAGTGTAGTTTGTTGTTATACAGGTAAAAAAAAAAAAAATACTCCAATGTGGGCAAGGACATTCACAGGACCTTAAAAGGACACTATAGTCACCAAAACACTTTAGCTGCATGAAGCAGTTTTGTTGTAGAGATCATGCTCCTGCCATCTCACTGCTCAGTTTAATGCTATTTTGAAGTTAAATCAATTTGTTTATGCACACTGGATAAAAACTTCTAAAGTTAGTTACAGCTGATTTTTTTTTTTTTTTAACACAAAAATTGCTTAATTAAGGTAATTTAGCTAAAGTTGTTTTGGTGACTGTAGTGTCCCTTTAAATAAACTAAATTACTTTATTTTAAACAGATATCACCAACATACAGTCAATGTTCTAATCCTAAAGAAAATCTTTTATTAAAAAATCCTATACGTGCACTCTTTGCTGGATATGTGTAAATACACAATACTGTCAGCAATCATATACATCGGGGGAAAAAAAATATTTTTGTGAAATGTCATGTTAAAGGATAAATACATTTACTAAAGCTGGTAAAGCCGGTCCCTATATATAAATATATAGCTTTTATTCACATTTTTGTCCCTTACACAGTTTTTATTTTTGTAGGATTGTTCCTTTCTCACTACTTTCACATTCGGTTCTTTTTTTTATCACTCCTGTGCAAGACACATTTTTACACACATTCAGAAGGGTAGCATTACAGGCATGTTACTTCACATAAATATAATGTTATTATTGGTTTTTCATGGGACATACATTTATTACCAACTCATTGTTTCTTTTTCATGTCTTTATATATTTTTTTTAATATATTTTTTCTAAAAGGTTCAGAGTAAATAAGTTCAGATAAGTTTATTACCACTGTAATGTGTTTATGCCCAAGAGTTATTATATGCACCTGTAACAGTCTTATTGTAAGTTATTGTATAAGCTGATTTTGTCCTTAAAATATATACCATGATTTGGGTGGGTGATGAAAGAATTCAGGTGTTCTTCAATTTATATTTAAAATATTAACGATATTAGAAAATTAATGAACAAATCCCTCTGCCACGATTTTCACTCTTCTCTGTGTTGGCTTTTTTCGGTGCTATAACTTGTATATTGGTCGTCATTTGATATTTGTCGTTAATAGTTTGTAGTAAGTCATTCATTTGCGATGAGGTTCTCCTTTGACATAGTTGTGTCTATACCACATGATGTCCCTTAAGTTTTCAGTTTACACTTTTCACGTGATATTGTCTTTATGTTTCAAGGTTGGACATTATCTGTTCGGGGTTTTGCATGTCTCTTTGCTCATGGTGGTTTGTGTTTGTGCTCTTATGCCCTTTTTTTTTTTTTTCTTCAATTCTTTATTTGTGAGTTCAAAGATTCAGCAATACAGAAGCAGAAAGAGTATGACATATCATATCACCGTGGCACTTAACATAATTCAGTACATTCAGTCAGCAGTGCATTGTCTGGTACAGAATATGAGGAAGCATTAATGTTCACCATCGAGTGCCTCGCAGGCCAAGCTGCGATCCTTGTGTCTAAACTTTTGTAAGTCGTCTCAATGTGACCCCTGCCTCTATTCACCTTATCCCTAACTATTTTTTTTCCGTTATTTTTGCTATTTTAGTGAGGTTAGCAAATACAATAATACAGTTCACAATCACTTATGTGACAATAGTCGTACACAGAACATTGCGATATATTTGGCAATTTAAAATCTAAGTAACATTGCCTTAACATAACAATCATATATAAGGCTTCGGAAGTCGCAAATTAGGTGGCAACGGGTATCTTGTCTTATGCCCTTTTTATGTATTTAGATCAGCAATTTAGTTTGATCATTGTAGCAATACTTTGTATTTAGAAGTGCTGTTTGCCTCTTTATGTTGCCCACACGAGCCACCCAGTGCTACTTATCTCAAAATACCTTTTTGGTTTTATTTTTTAATTTGCATAGCTCATGGGTTGCTTTGGGAATAGGTGTCATTGGGTGATCATGTCATCAAGCTGCACCGTTGGACATTTCAGAGCTGTAGCACATGTTTTGAGGTTTCCAGAGATTGGTAAGTAATTATAATTTATTTTCTAAATATAGTTTTTTTTAGTTTTTGTTAGAATATTTGATATTGAGAAATGTTGGTCACAAACATAATAATCATGATGTGAGAAGTCAAAATAAAGGAATTTTCATTGGATTTAAAAAGTCATAAGAGTGCTTCACTTTTGTTACATTGAATATTTATATATATATATATATATATATATATATATATATATATATATATATATATATATATATGTGTGTGTGTGTGTGTGTGTGTGTGTGTGTGTATATATATATTTCAGTCTCTGAAACAAGCTCAGTGATTTGCACTGACATACAGTTTCACTGGCTCATACTTGTGCACTCTGAGCACACATTAACATGCTCCCTGGCACACAATCACTGATGCAGACAAACACTCGATAACACACTAATGTACACATTGGCCCACACACAGTGACCCATACAACCACACTGACACAGTCATCAGTGCACATACTCGGTGACATATATATGTATATATATATATATATATATATATATATATATATATATATAATAATGTGTGTGTATGTATATATATATGTCACCGAGTATGTGCATTGATGATTGTGTCAGTGTGGTGTATGTGTGTGTGTGTGTGTGTGTGTGTGTATATATATATATATATATATATATATATATATATATACACACACACACACACTGGCGCACAAACACATTGACATGCATAGTGACCAATACAAGCACACTTACACACAATAACACTCACACACTCATTTACACATGCTGACACACATGCAGTGACCCAAACATACATACTAACACACACAGTGACCAATACAAGCTCAATGAGACACACAGGTACCAATTCTAATACACTTACACTGTGACCCATTCACCCACACATGCACACTGCACCCCTCACATACTGCCTACAGTAGACCCTACACACTGCACTCACTACATCCCCTACAGTCACCACATCCTTTAAACACACACAATACATCCCCCTACACACACTGCGCCACCTACACACACTACATTCCCTATACACTCTTTGGATCCCCTTTGCACAAACTAGATCCCATTTACGCAAAAACATACACTCATTCCGTCAACACGCACTCTCTACAGCCCATATACACACTATATCACCTATATACACATACACTACAGTACACAAATTGATTTCTTTATGTGAATGCTATAGATTTAGCAGCTATAGCATTCTATGGGTTCTCCCATTAACTTCCAGAAATCAAACAGTAAATACCACAATGTGCTTTATAAGGTTTAGGTGATATTTGCCCTGCTTTTACAAGACACAACAGTGTATAGTGCAGTGCTAAAAATGTTTTGTAAATGAGTCAGAGCTTACCCATGGGGTTATGCGGCATGAATGGTTTCATACATACAAAGGGAAAAACAATATACTAGCTCTAAGTTTTTGCATGTTCTAGCCAATTATGGAGTGGCAGAACCCCCCTTTATTGGTGAAAAGAATGCTGTTACAAGAGGACTTGTAGTATTTAAAATAAATTTAACTTAAATGTTTAAAAGTACCAGCAAAAAAATTCTTAATAGGAGGTAAAAGCAAGTAAGATAGTAAATAATGTATACTGTCCTCGAGGTCTCGGAGACTCGTTTCGGCTGGTGTGCGGGCTTTTTCAATCGGTGCATTCCTTCACTTCCTTCCCCTGTTATAAAGGCATGTTCAGCATTGTTTCAACCATTAAGGTGCTTGTTCGGTTGGGGGCACGATCGATCCGAAACACTGTTGTCTTGTAAAGGGGGGTGCAAATTTCACCTAAACACTATAAAGCACATTGTGCTGTTCACATACACTACAGTGCCTATGCACAAACTGCATCCCATATAAACACACACTGTAGCCCATATACACACCCTATGGCCCCATACACACACACACACTACAGCACCTAGCCAGACATATTATACCACAAACAAAACACAACTGAAACCGAAAACAAAAACACCACAATCAACCCTACACACACGCAATTCCACAAGCGGCATCCAAACACATATACAGTACTCTTTCCTAGCCCTTTTGTCTTCTGGAATCCAACATTTGGAGACAGTAGAGGCAAGCAAACACAGCGCAAGTATGTAATTAAATCTGCTTGCGCTTCACAGGGCCTTTTTCTTATGCAAGAGCTTTTTTTAGCAGGGCTCTGCGCATGGGCTGCCCTGGAACCCCCTCTGGTCCTGCCTCCTTGCCACTGGGCCGCTGTGTTTAAAAAAGGTTTTCCCAGTCCGACCCTGGATCCATACACACATTAACCAATACAAACACAATGACACACATAGGGAACAATGCAACCAGAATGACACAAACAGAGGGACCAAAATAAACACACTGACACACACTCAGTGGCCCATACACACAAACTAAAACACACACACACACACAGACATCAATACAAACACACTGTCACAACACATTCCCATACACACACTAGCACCCCTATTCAAGCTCTCCCTTATCACAGATGGTAAAGCCTGTCCCTAGCTTTCATTAATCGCCTCTGGGATTCTAGCCTGCACAAAGCATTGGCTGCAACAATATAATGTCATTATGTATCCCGACAGTCTTCAGATCCATGCACTGCAAGAAGGGGCTGTCTTCTGCTGCTACTCTCACCTCCTCACCAGTACCAGGAAATTTCCCTGTGTCCCTGTAGGTCAGTCCGTTTAATCAGACCACCTGGTTCTGTGACGTCCCTGTGAGAGCTGCGCCCGGTGATACCCTCCCCCTTACTATGCCTCTGAGTTCATTTAGAAAAACATAGCGAGCACAACAACATCAATGGGCTTAACCCACACAATTACTTTGCTAATCAGTACTGTGAAACCTGCAATTCACTATAGAAAAAAGTGCAAGTGCCAAAGTTAACATGTTTCTGTTATTATGGTATATTAGGTATATTATTAAACTAAGAATGCCAACTATTTGTTGTTACCATTAAACATGGGTTATAAAAGTTAGTTATCTCTAGTAAGAGTTATTCTGTAACGTAGTATTTTCCATGTAACAATGGGACCTGGATTCCTCTACTTATTGATTTTCATTTTTCTAATAGACTTCAATAGACAAATTGCTATTAAATAACCTGAACTAATCTTCTCCTTGGTAACAGAATCCAGTCGATTCTGTCATAATGCTTTAATGTATACTAGTTTTTAGATTTGAGAAAAGCATTTTTCTGATAGAATAGGATTTGACTGGAATGTTATATTTTACAGGCTGGTATGAGGATTAATTATTTTTCATTAAAGGAACACTGTATTAATACAAAGCTGTATTCCTAACACTATATAACCCCTTGTACCCCCAATGGCAATTAAGCCCTTTAAACACTCACCGTCGTCCAGTGGCGAGGTCCCTCTGTGCTGGGCCATCTCCGCCTCCTCCAACATCATTGTAAGGGGGAATCTAATGCGCATGCATTGAATGAAGAGCGTGAAGAAGTCCTTGTTTTGTGAAGTTAAACTTCGTGAAACAGCAGGGAGTACCTCTAGTAGCTGTCTGGTAGACAGCCATCAGAAACAGTCGTAACCCTGCAATGAAAACATTAGACTTTCTCTAAAACTGCAATATTTCCAGCTGCAGGGGTAAGAGGACAGGGACACTGCAGTCAGACCACTTCAATGAGATAAAGTGGTCTGGGTGCCTTTAGTGTCCTTTTAATACACAACAATTCTAATTAGTTTTGCAAGCAGAATCTCAAAGTTGTCTTGCCTCCAATTAGAACATATCCAAAATAATTTTATCTACATCCTTAATCAAAACTATAATGTTCAATACATTTTATATGTTCATTTTTTAGAACCTACTGAAAACAGAGAGCATAAAAAATGAAGAAGAAAATTCCACCATTGTCTTATCACTTTAAAATACAGTCTAACTTGTTCTAGACTTCCAAGAACAAGATTAATTCATGCACAGCATGAATTGTCTATACATATGACTAGACCATCTTATAGATCATGGGAACTTTTATATGTTTTGTTGTAGACTTCTACATTTGTCTAGAATGTAGCTCTTTTAACAAGCCTGCACTACAGCACTCTCCTTGTATTTGTAAGTGCCCAGTAACTTGCAAACCATGTAAGTGATTGCGCACTGCTGCCATCTGTTAAATGACTTTAGAAATTAGTTGGAGGTTAATTCTCTGCTTCATTGGTCGGCAAAAATAGCCAAATTTGTAACAGATTTTGATTGCATTTGTGTAGTACCTTGCCCTTTCATAAAACGAAGGGATACTTCAAAACTGGCCTCGCATGTCATAGCAAAGCAAGACATCAATAAAAAAGAATTAACAATGTTAACCTTTCTCTGTTTCCTTTATTATATTTTTGTATCGCCTTGCAATTCTATAAAATATATTTTTACATAATTTTATTAACCCTTTGTGACATGGCTTCCAGCATTCAGGGGGGTCAGACAAATTGTATACCTGAGAGATGCACTGAAGAGGCATTTTGTATCCCAATCCTCAAGGTCTGCGGCGTATTGCTGAATGTTCAGGGTGATATTAGTCATTCTGTTTATCGAGTAACATTTGTCATTTTGCTTATCACTAAACACTCAATTCAATTAATTGCAGCGAGACTATTTTAGCCTTGAATTCTCTTTTTTCAATTCTCAAAAACCCTTTGATTAATGAATAAAGGCCTGTGTAATACAATATAGTTATAGACTGGCTGCATGTGAAAAATAATAGCTTATACATTAATATATATGTATTATTTTTTCCTTTGCGAATATTTGAGGATTTTGTTGTTAAATGAATTGGGATTATTTTGACTGTAAAATCTCGTATTCTCTAATTACTAGTACCAGTTGTTGAAGTGGTTATAGTGCAAGGAGTCTTTAAGTGCAGTTTCTCCATTTTTGTTTAGAGATTTGAGAAAACCTGAACTCTCCTGGTTCACCAAGTGTGGTTCCTCTTCTACTGCACAGATAATGTAGATGTATCAATATGTTACATTTTAATGATTAGCAATTCCCCCATCATCCCATTATCTGCCTTCCACCATTTGGTCAGTATGTATCATCTATATCCAACATTCTGGTATTGCATAATTTCATACTTCCTACATGCACATTCCACATTAAGATATTTACTGGCTAAACTGCAAAGTGTCGGGAATTTAAAATAATTTTAAAATTAATTTATAATATTAAACTAAAACAGTCCGAAAAAGCAGTATATGTTCAGTCTTGTCTGTTTTGCCCTGAATAATTAAATTGATTTTTTAATTCACTATGAATTCCGAATAATTTACACTGTAACTGATAACTCTAGCGTAGTTTTGAGATCCAATCCTACGAAGTAGATATTTCTGCCCATAGAACACAGAAGCAGTTAGTTGCGATCTGAGATTTATTTATATAAACTAAACTGGTAGAGTACGGCAGCTATTTAAAACACTAACATATGTCCATTTCTTAATCTGAAATGTTGTACTTTGCCCATAATGCATTAAAACTTTATTAATTGATTAAGGTCGTTCAGTTATATATACTTTAACTATTTTAATTTCAATTAGCATAAAATTTTCCATTTGTTTATCTGTTATACAGTTATATTTAATGTCTTATAGCAGCAATAGTAATTAAAATGTAGCCTGTAAAGTAATTTATTTGTAAGTTCCCATGAGTTGGCAATACCAGATGCCGGA